AGGGTGGGACACATGAGGTGGGGGAGGGGGAGGAGTTTTGGGACCTCTTGGTGTCCAATCTGTTCTTATCTCACCAGTTTTGCCATGGGCATCGAGTTCCGGGAGGGTTCTTTGGTCATCAACAGCAAGAATCAACATCGGCTGAAGAAGGGTGAGGAGAGCTTCGTCCCCACCCCAAAACTGTCCTCTTCCACCTCAGAGTTTGTCCCACCACCCCAAAAGTGTGCTTTTCTACCCCAAAATTGTCCTCTTTCACCCCAAAAGTGTCCTCTTCCACCTCAAAATTTTTCCCACCACCCAAAATTTGGTCCCACTACCCCAAAAATTGTGGCAGTACCCCAAAATTTTGTCCCACCACCCCAAAAATGGTCTTCCACCTCACAGTTTGTCCCACCACACCAAAAATTGTCCCAATAGCCCAAAAATTCTGTCCCACCGCCCCAAAATTGGTCCTACCACACAAAACTTTGTCCCACCACCCCAAAAGTGTCCTCTTCCACCTCAAAAGTTTGTCCCACCACACCAAAATTTGGTCCCACCACCCCAAAAATTGTCATATAACCCTGAAATTTGTTCTGTAATGCCAGATGGTTGTCCTGTTCCACCCCCAAATTTTGTCCTCTCACCTCCAAATTTGTCCTCTCACCCCAAAATTTTGTCCCACCACCTTACAATTTGACTCATCACCCCAAACTTTTGTCCTCTTCCACCCCAAAATTTGCACTCTCACCCCAAAATTTGTTCTCTACCCCCAAATTTTGTCCCACCACCCCAAAATTGGTCTTCTCACCCCAAAATTCTGTCCCACCACCCCAAAATTTTTCCCTCTTCCACCCCACATTTTGCCCACTACCCCGAAATCTGTCCTCACCCCTAACTTTGTCATCTCACCCCCAAATTTTGTCTCACCACCTCAAATTTTGTCCCACCACCCCAAAAATTGTCTTTTTCTACCCCAAAAATGCTTCCACGGCCCCAAAATTCTCCTCCTCACACCCCCCCAAAACCTTCTTCCCCTCCCTCCCCTCCTCTTCCTCCCCACCTCAGGCATGGTCTTCAGCATCAACGTCGGCTTCTCCGACTTGACCAACAAGGAAGGCAAAAAACCAGAGGAGAGGACCTATGCCATGTTCATCGGTGACACTGTCCTGGTCGATGAGGTAAGCAGGGAAAGGGGTGGGGCCACAAGGGACCTCCCCTCAAATTCAACAAGCTCCTTCCTCCCA